GAAACTAGCTGACGAGAGGCTGAAACTATGAGAGGCTGAAACTAGCTGACGAGAGGCTGAAACTAGCTGACGAGAGGCTGAAACTAGCTGACGAGAGGCTGAAACTAGTTGACGAGAGGCTGAAACTAGCTGACGAGAGGCTGAAACTAGCTGACGAGAGGAGGCTGAAACTAGCTGACGAGAGGCTGAAACTAGCTGACGAGAGGCTGAAACTAGCTGACGAGAGGCTGAAACTAGCTGACGAGAGGCTGAAACTAGCTGACGAGAGGAGGCTGAAACTAGCTGACGAGAGGCTGAAACTAGCTGACGAGAGGCTGAAACTAGCTGACGAGAGGCTGAAACTAGCTGACGAGAGGAGGCTGAAACTAGCTGACGAGAGGCTGAAACTAGTTGACGAGAGGCTGAAACTAGCTGACGAGAGGCTGAAACTAGCTGACGAGAGGCTGAAACTAGCTGACGAGAGGAGGCTGAAACTAGCTGACGAGAGGCTGAAACTAGTTGATGGAACTAGTTGATGAGAGGCTGAAACTAGCTGACGAGAGGCTGAAACTCGTTGATGAAACTAGTTGACGAGAGGCTGAAACTAGCTGACGAGAGGCTGAAACTAGCTGACGAGAGGAGGCTGAAACTAGTTGATGGAACTAGTTGACGAGAGGCTGAAACTAGCTGACGAGAGGCTGAAACTATGAGAGGCTGAAACTAGCTGACGAGAGGAGGCTGAAACTAGCTGACGAGAGGCTGAAACTAGCTGACGAGAGGCTGAAACTAGCTGACGAGAGGAGGCTGAAACTAGCTGACGAGAGGCTGAAACTAGCTGACGAGAGGCTGAAACTAGTTGACGAGAGGCTGAAACTAGCTGACGAGAGGCTGAAACTAGCTGACGAGAGGAGGCTGAAACTAGCTGACGAGAGGCTGAAACTAGCTGACGAGAGGCTGAAACTAGCTTACGAGAGGCTGAAACTAGTTGACGAGAGGCTGAAACTAGCTGACGAGAGGAGGCTGAAACTAGCTGACGAGAGGCTGAAACTAGTTGACGAGAGGCTGAAACTAGCTGACGAGAGGCTGAAACTGGTTGATGGAACTAGTTGATGAGAGGCTGAAACTAGTTGATGGAACTAGTTGATGAGAGGCTGGAACTAGTTGATGGAACTAGTTGATGAGAGGCTGGAACTAGTTGATGGAACTAGTTGATGAGAGGCTGAAACTAGTTGATGGAACTAGTTGATGAGAGGCTGGAACTAGTTGATGGAACTAGTTGATGAGAGGCTGAAACTAGTTGATGGAACTAGCTGATGAGAGGCTGGAACTAGTTGATGGAACTAGTTGATGAGAGGCTGAAACTAGTTGATGAAACTAGTTGATGAGAGGCTGAAACTAGTTGATGAGAGGCTGAAACTAGCTGACGAGAGGCTGAAACTAGTTGATGGAACTAGCTGATGAGAGGCTGGAACTAGTTGATGGAACTAGTTGATGAGAGGCTGAAACTAGTTGATGAGAGGCTGAAACTAGCTGACGAGAGGCTGAAACTAGTTGATGGAACTAGCTGATGAGAGGCTGGAACTAGTTGATGGAACTAGTTGATGAGAGGCTGAAACTAGCTGACGAGAGGCTGAAACTAGTTGATGGAACTAGTTGATGAGAGGCTGAAACTAGTTGATGGAACTAGCTGATGAGAGGCTGAAACTAGTTGATGAGAGGCTGAAACTAGTTGATGAGAGGCTGAAACTCGTTGATGGAACTAGTTGACGAGAGGCTGAAACTAGTTGATGAGAGGCTGAAACTAGTTGATGAGAGGCTGAAACTAGTTGATGAGAGGCTGAAACTCGTTGATGGAACTAGTTGATGAGAGGCTGAAACTAGTTGATGAGAGGCTGAAACTAGTTGATGAGAGGCTGAAACTCGTTGATGGAACTAGTTGATGAGAGGCTGAAACTCGTTGATGGAACTAGTTGACGAGAGGCTGAAACTAGTTGATGAGAGGCTGAAACTAGTTGATGAGAGGCTGAAACTAGTTGATGAGAGGCTGAAACTCGTTGATGGAACTAGTTGATGAGAGGCTGAAACTAGTTGATGAGAGGCTGAAACTCGTTGATGAGAGGCTGAAACTAGTTGATGAGAGGCTGAAACTAGTTGATGAGAGGCTGAAACTCGTTGATGAGAGGCTGAAACTAGTTGATGAGAGGCTGAAACTAGTTGATGAGAGGCTGAAACTAGTTGATGAGAGGCTGAAACTAATTGATGAGAGGCTGAAACTAGTTGATGAGAGGCTGAAACTCGTTGATGGAACTAGTTGACGAGAGGCTGAAACTAGTTGATGAGAGGCTGAAACTAGTTGATGAGAGGCTGAAACTAGTTGATGGAACTAGCTGATGAGAGGCTGAAACTAGTTGATGAGAGGCTGAAACTAGTTGATGAGAGGCTGAAACTAGTTGATGAGAGGCTGAAACTCGTTGATGGAACTAGTTGATGAGAGGCTGAAACTAGTTGATGAGAGGCTGAAACTCGTTGATGGAACTAGTTGATGAGAGGCTGAAACTCGCTGACGAGAGGCTGAAACTAGTTGATTTGAGGCTGAAATCATTGATTTGAAATCGTCCTCAGTTAACGGACTCATCTGTGGTCCAGCTCTTCTTCTTCTATGGTTGTTGACGGCCTGATGTCCGCAGCACTCACTCTGAGTGTTTCTGCTCTCAATTGGATTTCTCCTGCTCTCTGCTCAGTAATGCTTCTCAGTGATCTGCAGACTGCGAGCCGCGAAGACTCACAGGACTTCATTTATATTAGAAAATATCAGTTTCAGTCTTCATTTAGGAGAAAAAACAACAACCATGAAGCTATACAAAAAATATAATACAAATATTTGTATGAACATATATAAACAAAAGTAGTTCAAATAAAAATGTTGTTTTAATGCAAATGTGTGCAATAGAAATATAAAATCAAATCAAAGAAACGTTGAACATGGGAAGTAAACATTATATAGAAGCGGCCCTTTTTATATTAAAATGTACTTAAGAGTGAGTACAGATAAACGGCAAGTCATTAGCATCGCACAGTTGAATAATGCATAGAAATACATGACAGTATAACAGATAAACTCCCCTCCATACTCCTGCAGAAATGTATATTGTTCCAGCAGAAAAGAGCAGCTTCATGTTAGCTAAGAAGCATGCTTACAGATAGCCATTAAAGATAAGAAAATAAACTAAAGTTACACAATTTACAAAATACACATCCTGTTAGAGTTCTGAAGATTTGAGCATCTCTCTCTGAAGAAACATGGCTTCTCTCCAGCCGTGAGGGGAGAATGCAGTGAAACAGGATCTGTCTGACTGCATGAGGGAAGGGAAGGGGGGAGAGATGGAAGGGAAGGGGGGAGAGATGGAAGGGAAGGGGGGAGAGATGGAAACACAGATCGAAAACCATCAAAGTGAGAGAGAGAGAGAACCTGGAGAATAAAGATGAACACATGAGAGAGATGGGAAATATTACAACCACTGATGTTTACTGGAGCAGCAATCTCATACTTTAAAGAGTCCTCTCCTGCTGATGTTCAGGTGTATATCGGTATGTAATGTCTCTACTTTAAAGAGTCCTCTCCTGCTGATGTTCAGGTGTATATCAGTATGTAGAGTCTCTACTTTAAAGAGTTCTCTCCTGCTGATGTTCAGGTGTATATCAGTATGTAGTGTCTCTACTTTAAAGAGTCCTCTCCTGCTGATGTTCAGGTGTATATCAGTATGTAGTGTCTCTACTTTAAAGAGTCCTCTCCTGCTGATGTTCAGGTGTATATCAGTATGTAGTGTCTCTACTTTAAAGAGTCCTCTCCTGCTGATGTTCAGGTGTATATCAGTGTGTCGTGTCTCTACTTTAAAGAGTCCTCTCCTGCTGATGTTCAGGTGTATATCAGTATGTAGTGTCTCTACTTTAAAGAGTCCTCTCCTGCTGATGTTCAGGTGTATATCAGTATGTAGTGTCTCTACTTTAAAGAGTTCTCTCCTGCTGATGTTTAGGTGTATATCAGTATGTAGTGTCTCTACTTTAAAGAGTCCTCTCCTGCTGATGTTCAGGTGTATATCAGTATGTAGTGTCTCTACTTTAAAGAGTCCTCTCCTGCTGATGTTCAGGTGTATATCAGTATGTAGAGTCTCTACTTTAAAGAGTCCTCTCCTGCTGATGTTCAGGTGTATATCAGTATGTAGAGTCTCTACTTTAAAGAGTCCTCTCTGCTGATGTTCAGGTGTATATCAGTATGTAGTGTCTCATACTTTAAAGAGTCCTCTCCTGCTGATGTTCAGGTGTATATCAGTATGTAGTGTCTCTACTTTAAAGAGTCCTCTCCTGCTGATGTTCAGGTGTATATCAGTATGTATTGTCTCATACTTTAAAGAGTCCTCTCCTGCTGATGTTCAGGTGTATATCAGTATGTAGAGTCTCTACTTTAAAGAGTCCTCTCCTGCTGATGTTCAGGTGTATATCAGTATGTAGTGTCTCTACTTTAAAGAGTCCTCTCCTGCTGATGTTCAGGTGTATATCAGTATGTAGTGTCTCTACTTTAAAGAGTCCTCTCCTGCTGATGTTCAGGTGTATATCAGTATGTAGTGTCTCTACTTTAAAGAGTCCTCTCCTGCTGATGTTCAGGTGTATATCAGTATGTAGTGTCTCTACTTTAAAGAGTCCTCTCCTGCTGATGTTCAGGTGTATATCAGTATGTAGTGTCTCTACTTTAAAGAGTCCTCTGCAGCTGCTCTGAACTGATTATTCAAACCTTCACATGATGCAACACCGCTGCAATGCATCCTGGGCCGTCACATGTCTGCTCAAACAAGCAATCTGACACGTTGGAGTTTCACTACACATGCAGTTAACCCCTTTCTGACTGAACATATAAAATATCTGCACACTAATACTAATACTTCATCAGCAGAGGGACTCTTTAAAGAGGTGTTGTTGTTCCTCTCCCTGCCTCTGACCTGCTCTCTGTGTGTGTTGCTCCTCAGACTCAGACTACATCAGTGAGGAGGAGAAGCAGAAAGTGGAGCTGATGTTAGCGTTCCTGACCGAGGAGAACCAGCAGGCAGCAGCTAGTACCGCCGTGAGTACAAATACTGAGATTACTACTACTGCAAATACTACTACTGCAAATACTACCAGTATACTGCACATACCACCAGTACTACTACCACTACTACTTCAAATACTACCACTACTACTGCAAATACTACCAGTATACTGCACATACCACCAGTACTACTACCACTACTACTTCAAATACTACCACTACTACTGCACATACCACCAGTACTACTACCACTACTACTTCAAATACTACCACTACTACTGCAAATACTACCAGTATACTGCACATACCACCAGTACTACTACCACTACTACTTCAAATACTACCACTACTACTGCACATACCACCAGTACTACTACCACTACTACTTCAAATACTACCACTACTACTGCAAATACTACCAGTATACTGCACATACCACCAGTACTACTACCACTACTACTTCAAATACTACCACTACTACTGCACATACCACCAGTACTACTACCACTACTACTTCAAATACTACCACTACTACTGCAAATACTACCAGTATACTGCACATACCACCAGTACTACTACAACTACTACTTCAAATACTACCACTACTACTGCAAATACTACCACTACTACTGCACATACCACCAGTACTACTACCACTACTACTGCACATACCACCAGTACTACTGCACATACCACCAGTACTACTGCACATACCACCAGTACTACTGCACATACTACCAGTACTACTACAAATACTAACGTCAAACATCTTCACATTAGTGTTTATACCTACAGTTGAGGGCTACATTATTAGCCCCCCAGGAGTTATGGAACATTTTCCTAAAATTCTTCCCAATGTTTCCAGCATTGATAAAACTTGATATAATCAAACATTCCCCAGTGCTATTTAGTAGCTTTTGGTACATTTTGGAACATAAAATAAGTTTTTAGGCTCACTTTATATCAAATATAGTGAAAAATGGGTCAAAGATATTAGCCCCCATGTGAATTTTTGCTTTGAAAACACACCTAATCAATCAATCAGCTTTCAAGCCACACCTAATCAACCAATCAGCATAAAAGGACTCCAAGAAACAGGCACTCTGATACCTTATAGAGAGGGACTATACTACTACTCCTACTCACCATGCCAAACACAAAGGAAATCAGTCTTGAGCTCAGACAGAAGACAGTGGAGGCTCATGATAAGGGGGAAGGCTACACTGCTATGTCCAAGCGCTTCACAGTGTCTAGAGCGGCTGCACGTTGCATCATTGAGAAGTACAAGGAGACACCTTCTGTAAGAAACAAACCTGGGCGTGGTCGAAAGCACAAGGTTTCAAGAACTCTGGAGAGGAAAACAGTCAGAGATGTCAGCAAGATGATTGTTGCTGACCTGGCCTCTGCTGGAGTCGATGTTTCAAGGAACACAGTGGTGAGGGCTCTTCATCGTGGTGGGCTTCAGGCTCTTCATCGTGGTGGGCTTCAGGCTCTTCATCGTGGTGGGCTTCAGGGCCATCGTCCCAGAAGAACCCCTTTACTCAAAGAGCGGCACATCAGAGCCAGACTGAGGTTTGCCCGTGAACATTTGAAAGGTAAAGATGAGTTTTGTAAGTCTGTGCTTTGGTCTGATGAGACTAAACTGGAACTGTTCGGGCACATGGATGCTGCTCATGTTTGGTGAAGAAAGGGAGAGGCCTTCTACCCTAAGAACACATCATGCTGTGGGGCTGCAGCCTCAGGCACAGGGAGCCTTGTTCGGGTGCAAGGCATCATGAACAATTAAAATGATGTTGACATTTTGAGGGATAATATGAAAACATCTGCTCTTAGTCTTCGCTCAGGTCGTCGCTGGGTGTTCCAACAAGACAACGACCCAAAGCACACATACAATATATTGTTTTAAATCTAATAAGTAATCAGTGTTTAAACCTCTGATAGTTCTCTCTCCTCTCCTCCCGTCTGTAGAAACCTGATCTATATATATATATATTTACCATTAGTAATAACCCCTCCCCAGCTGGGGTAACAGGAATCTCCCGGAGCCCCTGAACGCACCACTGAGGTCTGACTCTCACTCTCTATTTTAATGAAAGTCCACCGAGGCCAGACATTAAATTATACATTCATAAATCAGAGCAGGTGTGAACAAGCAGAGCAAAGGTCAACACACACACACACACACACAAACACACACACACACACACACACACACACACACACACACACACACACACACACACACACACACACACACACACACACACACACACACACACACACACACACACACACACACACACACATCAGAGTAAATCATTAGAGGCTCGCTGTGGATCTGTTGCTCTGACATCCCGAGCTGTTGTCTTGGCAAACATAAGAAGTGTGTGCGTGTGTGTGTGTGTGCGTGTGTGTGTGTGTGTGTGTGTGTGTGTGTGTGTGTGCGTGTGTGTGTGTGTAGATGGATGTTGGCAGCTTTTCAAACAGTCGAGTGATTTAATAACGTGGTGGCATCATGCGTGTCGTTCTTTAACACAACATAGACTCTGAATTATAAATATATACAGTATATAGTGAGATTCATATGACGTCAATATGGAACACTCCTATTGGCTAGCTAGGGGAGGGACTCTTTAAAGTAGAGACACTACATACTGATATACACCTGCACATCAGCAGGGGAGGACTCTTTAAAGTAGAGACACTACATACTGATATACACCTGAACATCAGCAGGAGAGGACTCTTTAAAGTAGAGACACTACTTACTGATATACACCTGAACATCAGCAGGAGAGGACTCTTTAAAGTAGAGACACTACATACTGATATACACCTGAACATCAGCAGGAGAGGACTCTTTAAAGTAGAGACACTACATACTGATATACACCTGGACATCAGCAGGAGAGGACTCTTTAAAGTAGAGACACTACATACTGATATACACCTGAACATCAGCAGGAGAGGACTCTTTAAAGTAGAGACACTACTTACTGATATACACCTGAACATCAGCAGGAGAGGACTCTTTAAAGTAGAGACACTACATACTGATATACACCTGAACATCAGCAGGAGAGGACTCTTTAAAGTAGAGACACTACTTACTGATATACACCTGAACATCAGCAGGAGAGGACTCTTTAAAGTAGAGACACTACATACTGATATACACCTGAACATCAGCAGGAGAGGACTCTTTAAAGTAGAGACACTACATACTGATATACACCTGAACATCAGCAGGAGAGGACTCTTTAAAGTAGAGACACTACATACTGATATACACCTGGACATCAGCAGGAGAGGACTCTTTAAAGTAGAGACACTACATACTGATATACACCTGAACATCAGCAGGAGAGGACTCTTTAAAGTAGAGACACTACATACTGATATACACCTGAACATCAGCAGGAGAGGACTCTTTAAAGTAGAGACACTACATACTGATATACACCTGAACATCAGCAGGAGAGGACTCTTTAAAGTAGAGACACTACATACTGATATACACCTGGACATCAGCAGGAGAGGACTCTTTAAAGTAGAGACACTACATACTGATATACACCTGAACATCAGCAGGAGAGGACTCTTTAAAGTAGAGACACTACATACTGATATACACCTGAACATCAGCAGGAGAGGACTCTTTAAAGTAGAGACACTACATACTGATATACACCTGCACATCAGCAGGAGAGGACTCTTTAAAGTAGAGACACTACACACTGATATACACCTGAACATCAGCAGGAGAGTACTCTTTAAAGTAGAGACACTACATACTGATATACACCTGCACATCAGCAGGAGGGGACTCTTTAAAGTAGAGACACTACATACTGATATACACCTGCACATCAGCAGGAGAGGACTCTTTAAAGTAGAGACACTACATACTGATATACACCTGAACATCAGCAGGAGAGGACTCTTTAAAGTAGAGACACTACATACTGATATACACCTGCACATCAGCAGGAGAGGACTCTTTAAAGTAGAGACACTATATACTGATATACACCTGAACATCAGCAGGAGAGGACTCTTTAAAGTAGAGACACTACATACTGATATACACCTGAACATCAGCAGGAGAGGACTCTTTAAAGTAGAGACACTACATACTGATATACACCTGAACATCAGCAGGAGAGCACTCTTTAAAGTAGAGACACTACATACTGATATACACCTGAACATCAGCAGGAGAGGACTCTTTAAAGTAGAGACACTACATACTGATATACACCTGAACATCAGCAGGAGAGGACTCTTTAAAGTAGAGACACTACATACTGATATACACCTGAACATCAGCAGGAGAGGACTCTTTAAAGTAGAGACACTACATACTGATATACACCTGAACATCAGCAGGAGAGGACTCTTTAAAGTAGAGACACTACATACTGATATACACCTGAACATCAGCAGGAGAGAACTCTTTAAAGTAGAGACACTACATACTGATATACACCTGAACATCAGCAGGAGAGGACTCTTTAAAGTAGAGACACTACAGACTGATATACACCTGAACATCAGCAGGAGAGGACTCTTTAAAGTAGAGACACTACATACTGATATACACCTGAACATCAGCAGGAGAGCACTCTTTAAAGTAGAGACACTACATACTGATATACACCTGAACATCAGCAGGAGAGGACTCTTTAAAGTAGAGACACTACATACTGATATACACCTGAACATCAGCAGGAGAGGACTCTTTAAAGTAGAGACACTACATACTGATATACACCTGAACATCAGCAGGAGAGAACTCTTTAAAGTAGAGACACTACATACTGATATACACCTGAACATCAGCAGGAGAGGACTCTTTAAAGTAGAGACACTACATACTGATATACACCTGAACATCAGCAGGAGAGGACTCTTTAAAGTAGAGACACTACATACTGATATACACCTGAACATCAGCAGGAGAGCACTCTTTAAAGTAGAGACACTACATACTGATATACACCTGAACATCAGCAGGAGAGGACTCTTTAAAG